CTTAACTAAATACATAACTTTTTACACTAAGTAAAAGTACTATCATTAAGGGACAACGATGTCTAGCCGACTTTACATGGAGTTACTGCCCTCTTCTGGTCAATGGTCACGTGACATGAATGGATCAGTTTAACTTTGTTACCAGAGGGTGTTACAGCACAAAAGCCTGTATGTAGTAAGTTACTGTAAAAGCTGTGGCACATCCACTTGTTTCTTTTATTGTTACTATTGCTACTGAATGAGAGTAACTGCATGTTCTGGAGACAAAATTATTCTCTCAAACTTACTGTTGGTCAGGAAGCAGCAGGCGAAGCTGGCGGATCACTTTTCTGACAGCAGGACCATCTGCACCTCCACCCATCAGTCAGTCAGTAAAGCTGAAGGGAGATAACCTAAAACAGAGGTACCAAACCCGGTCCGGGGACCAGTGCCGGTCCATAGGTCATTTGGTACCGGGCCACAGTGGGACACAGTGAAAAAAATGTACTTCAGTTTTACTAATTTACTTCATCTAAAATAATCCAGTCATATCCCTTTACTATTTTCATTTAAAGATAATCTGGCAATGTTTCAAAACAATAGGTCATTCAGACTCTGACAGATATATTTAGATAATTTAATCCTTCAACGATAGTGCAGTATTACCGGTTTCTGTTTACCTCTGCTGTGGACAAGCACAAAGTGAGTTAGCCCCGGAGCTAATGTTAGCTTCGGCGCAGATCACTAAGTCTCCCCTGTATATTCCAACTTTGGTCGGGACGCTGAAGCAGGAAAGAGCTAACATGTAACCAGCTGTGTTACGGGCACTGTTCAGAAAACAAAACAAAACATTTATTTAATTAAAAGTGAAAAAAAGAAAACCTTTCATTGTAGCAACTTTCTGTGTAAATATCTAATGTTACAACATGGACACCTGCAGCTTATATGTACAATTTGTTTTTTCTTTTTAAATTTAGTGGGTGCTTATTATCAATACTTTATCGGAGTAATCAAAACATGATGACACAACACAAAGAGTGTAGCATTAATATGACTTCAATAATATTTGAATTTGAGAATACGTCACGAGCGTCATTGTTTTGACGATATTTCTAAAACTTAATTTCACTTGTGCATTCAGAAACCCGAGTTACTAAAATGATTGTTCTTCTTCTTTAATAAGAAAAATAAACACTTTTATCCCACATACTGTCACTGCTTTTATTCAAAAAATGTGTCAAATAACAAGTTGTTGATATTTTGAAACCCATCAAAACACTCCCAACACCAGAGAGAACAAGTACGTTCCTGTGTGAACAATTTATCCCTGCCTTAACACTTAACTCTTTTTAGGGTGAAGGGGGGGGGGCAGAATCCAATCCCAGCAGTCAACGGGGGTCGTCGGGAAGGAGGGTTAACCTAATCCAATCTGCACGAGTTTGGACTGGGAGGGAGCCAGAATACCTGTAGAAAAACCACAGGGGGAACATGCACCCTATATATACAGAAAAGACTGTCATTTACTACTGAAATAGGTGATCTTCTTGCTTTGTGTCTTATTAACAAAACCCCCAAAAAACGTCCAAAATAACAAAGTTCCATTGTGAAATCAGCAGCATATTAAAGACAGTGTGCTGTAATGTGTCAATCCCATAATGCCAGAGGGAGTATTTGTCAAACAATGTAACAAATATTATATTCCAGGCAGACAAGCTGTGGAAAGATCAAAAAGTGGGGCCAAACCCCAAACTGTAACACCAGGACCCTCCAAAGGGTTATTTGTTAATGGAGCCCTTATGTGGAAAGAACCTAATATTGAAGAAAATCATATAAAAACACATCTTCATGGATGAGACACTAAGACAGAGTACTGGATCCAAGAAGACTGGTCAAAAAGGTGTAAACTTTGTAAAAAAAAAAAAAAGTTAAACCCTGCTCTCCATAGTTTCTGTTTTGACCCAAACAATTGAAAGATAACGCAATTCCTGGGTTTCGCCAAATGATGTGTGCCCTGAAAATAGTTTTGGGGAGAAACAGCTGTATATGAAAGTGAAAGTCACTAGATGGCAGCATTGCAGCTCATTGTATTAATCTATTCTAATAATCAGGGGATTGTTTGCCGAATGCTGATGTCAGCAACTCATACAATGGTTTTTACAGATAAATAAATAAATATTACCAGGCACTCAATAGTATTTCAATTTACCCCTGGGGGAGAGGGGGGAGGGGCAGAGAATAACTGAGAAACACTGCTATAACCAACACCTTAGTGAGTAGGCGGTACTTAACTACCTTAACCATCAGTCCAGCTTTATCGGTATTGGTTGATATTGGAATCGGAAATTACGTGTTTGGACAATATTGGCAAAGTGTTAATATTGGACATCCCTAATATACACATATATATATACATACACACACACACACGTATATGTATATATATATATATATATACATATATACCTGTCTGAAGGCTCAGATTATCTTTAAAGGAAGAAAGTAAATATAAATAACAATATTCTTTCTAAATGAAGAAAACTATGAATTCTTTTTTCTTCGGCTTGCTGCGGCCGTGTACAAAATGACCGTTGGACCGGTACTGGTCTGCAGACTGGGGGTTAGGGACCAAAAAACAAAAAATTAACTGGAATGACTTTTGGATGTTAAAAATCACCTCAGACACAGTAAACAGTTTTACGTCTGATCCTCAAACCTGGACCAATGAAAACAAAGTGACTGGCCGTACTATGTCATAATAATAATAGTAATAATAATAAAATGTTATAACAACAACAATAATAATAATAAACGCCAACACGTATTTGGCATATTTTACCATCAACATCCAGATTTCAGAGTAATAATTCGGTTCTTCTTTACAAAAACATCTGCCTTCGCTTTGGTGTGAGCGCTGCTGGAAGGATCAGAGCTGATACAGGAAATGGTCGTTACACAGTCTGGTCAATTTGGACAGAAAAACAAACAAGAGGGAAAGATTTGTTCCTGAAACTATCGAGCCCCTTCAATTCATCCAGTTTATAAAGTGAAGGAATGCGGAGGCTGGCGTGGACAGAGCATTGAGGCGTGAGGCATCAACTGGTACTGTAAGCAGCAGAGAAAGCGTGACTGCCGTACTCGTCGTCAGTCGCCCACATCGCTGTCCTGGTCTCCGATCAGCCACAGGAAATGAAAGCTGAGAGCCAGCAGGGCAGTGCCCAGCAGGTCACCCAGAGCAGTCAGGTAAGGAATGGAAAAACTGTCTGGGTCTTTGCCACTCTGCCACATGGAGTGAACCATCCAGTCTGCAATACATAACAGTAGCAGCACCTGGAAAAGAGAGAGTAAAAAATCAGATTATGAATTTGATTTACCTGTCTGTCTGACTATTTCTCTCTCTCTCCTTATAGAACTTGATTTCTTGTTATTAGGGATGCCTGAAAATATCGGCCTACAAATAGTAGCATAGTTATGTAATATCTGGAAGAATCGTTATTGTTTTTTTTATTTGGAGAGTTGTCTTGTAAAATGGCTTTTTCTTTACCTAAAGCAAATGAAGTATTATATGTAGTAGTAAAATTTGATTTTAATTCAATTGTTACAATAAATGACTTGATCAAAGCTGTTGTGCAGACTGTACTGGGGCCTACCACTAGGGGATAAACTGTTTTGTAGTATAGGCTAGGGCTGTTTTCTCTGTATTTTCATGTAACACATAACATTGGGGCAGCATATTTGAAGCTTGAAGTTAGAGATAGCTTAAAAAAATAAGAGCAGATATTTCAGGAACTCCATCACACACCACTGGAATCAAACGATAGTAATGCTTACTTGTAGCATTGCAGCAGCTAGATACACTGACATAAAGATGACAGTCAGGGTCGTATGTCCGCTTTTCATTAGGTGGATGGTGTAGAGGAAAATGAGATGACCAGGAATCACCAATAGGATAAGCACCTGTGCAGATCTGTGATTGGCTCCTGTTGGAAAACAAATCGGTTAAAAGGAAGACAGCAAACAACCAATTTATGTTACCTATCAGTCTGTCACTGATCGGGCTTTAATTAGGTACTAACCTGTTCCAAAAAATGTACGACATGGGTAGTAGCAGCCCTTTGCCTCATCAGGGACCTCTCCAGGACTACAGTGAAAATGCAGATGTGTAGAGATCCTGCTGGACTGAATGGCAACCAGGTTTCCTCCAATACCTGGCGAGACATCCATAGTTGAAATTACTACGTGAGAGAGAACTTTGCAATAATTAAAAAGTGATGGCTCCTGTTAAGATATTGTAAATACATTTATTCAAATATTAACGATGTATTCATTATATTAAATTTCCATATCAATTTATACTGTTTGTTTTTCAATGCTGTACTAAAAGGAGAAGTACTGAAGAAAGGTGTGCATGCTGATGGTTTACATAACAGGATGGTGTATGGTACAGATGGCACTGACTGTTACGCTTGGAGATAGAGACAGGTCACAGAACCGGCCTGAACCAGTTTCTCTGCCTAAATAATGAGGAAAACAGAACATCAAAAAGGAAAAGAATCCAAAGTGTATTTCTTTGATCTAACCTGAGTTACTGAGCAGAATAGCTCGGCACATGTACATGTTTTCTATTGGTGGAGAATCTTTGTTTGGAGCAGCCTTTGCCAATCAGCGCTCAGAAGTGGTACGTGAACACCACATGGCTGTAAAGGGTTAAGCTACTGACCATTGATGTGTATGTGAAAAAACTGTATTTAAGCTCTGAGCACTGAGGAGTTCCTCAGTGCAGTTCTGAATGTAACCATTGTTCTGCACTCCTTGCTTGCAAGTAAAACTTTTAAAATTTGAGATCTCGTATTTGATTCTTTATTTGATCAGATCTTTATTTGATCTTTATTTGAATTCTTTGTGTGTTAGGAAACTGGGATATGAACTAACAGCATTTTTTACAGTCCTATCTAACAGAAAAAGTTTCCTGACAGCTCCTTAAAACTTTTTTCACATACAGATACTGGAACTTGGAGTACCTGCCAATACTGATATCAATAGGATACCTTCTTTTCTCCTCTATCATGCCACGGGCTGCTATCGCTGAGTTAGTGTCCCTGTTTACAGCATGTCGTGAAAGGTTTAGTTGAGCGTTTGGGCTAAGCTGTCGGACGAGCTATATTTTTTTACCTCAATGTTCGATCCTGAAATTTTCACCAATATCGGACCAATACTGATCCTGAGTATCGGATTGAGCTATCCCTATAATAAAACACAACCAACAACTGTTTTTACAGATGTTCGTGGTTACGTCGCCATCTTCCATAAATTTATGTAGAGTGTCTTGTCTTGTATAATTTAACCAGCCCCACCAGACAAACCTCTACTGTTCCAACGCTCATTACTATTACAGCCAGACTACTGTGTTAACATATTGAGCTCATTTTCATATTAAATGGAGGCCTGTATTACAATCCTGTAGACCTTTTCATCACAGAGTACATATTATTTTGATTACTAGTATTATTATTAAGTTCAAACTATGTCAACTACTTAATTTCCCTGTTGCAGAATTGATAGTAGAAGTTGCATCTCATCTTTCCAACTCACCATTGATAACAGGGGTGTACACAACAATGCCAGCCATATCTGGATGAGACACAGTTTTGTCCAGTATGAGTCCTCCAATGCTGCAAGACACAAGACAGTGAGATTATTGTTGAAGAAAATCAAACTGAGCCTAAGTAATAAGTAAGCAGTAAGGCTGAAACCTGACCGTATCCACCTTCTGCTTTGATGCCCACACTTACCTGCTGATGACCATGGCAGTAATGACCGGCTCCCATCCAGAGTAGAGTAGAGTGCGGCTGGCTGGGTGTTTAGACGAAATGACAATCCACAGGGGAGTCAGGAACATGAAGAAGGCGCAGAGCAGTGAAGACACATACGGGTAAGAATCTAGAGGTGACAAAAAGAGGGGGGGGAAAGGTAATGTTTCTCTGCTTTTTTTTAATCTTTCTGTTCTGTTGAACTGATGCTAACCTTGATAAATTAGGCTTAACAACTTGATGAAGTGGTCTGTTATCTGAGAAATAGGGATGTACCCATTGTGAAATTCTGGGCCAGAACTCCAGAACATCCTACATATCTTATCTTATTCATCATAGCTCGTATGGTGAGGTCCTGTGATTAATTCAATAATGCTTTTCAATTATACAACTTCTTCTTCAATTTTTGAGATGTTCTATTTTGCATCACAGTTGATAGAATGCCTTCTCCGGTATTATGTCTTTTCAATATTACATAGGAAGCTACAGTCAGTTATGGATGACATAGACAGGTTTGTACAGTTCACAGTTCATCAGTGTATGACAGTGATAAGTATCAGATAACGCACAAAGAGGGAATATTCAATTGGTGACATGAGAAAACTACACTCAATTCTAATGTGTTGGACAGCACTTGGTGTGGTGCGTGCTACGGCCTAACACTAGTCTTGACTTACTCAACCTCAAACGTTACAATAAAGTGTAGCTTCTGTGTAGTAAAACATACAGCCTGTTGTGCTTTCTGGCAGTCGTCACTAATCTTTCACTTTAACATGACACACCTATTTAGGAGAGCTCAGTAACACAAAATGTTGACTGAGAATACTTTAGGTAAATTGCAAAAGTTGATTGTGTAACACAAAACATGACTGCATACTTTGGTGTCTGGCTGCTGACAACAGAAAACCACAAAGGCTATAGGTGAAGAGTGAAAGACTCTAACAGCCTTCTGACTTACCCAGGCACTTGTAAAGGCCTTGACTTATCCAAGCCAGGATGGCCAAGGTGATGAGATCCCCAAAACTGGCTGCAATGGGTGTAGCTACATTGTCTGGGTTGATGCCGGTCTTCTTTGATCCAACTATAACACCCACCATTATGATACCTGTAAACAAAACAGGGAGGGAACAGCAGTGTGGTCAGAGGACTACTGAACTGAATCACAAAACTGGCAAAAACTGTCGGCTAGCACTCCTATGTGTCCTGTGATCAACACTGGGTTGTTTGATAACTTAAATATAAAATATATATATTAGCAGCTTAATGACTTCAAAGTAGTATCTCAGGTGATACTAGGCTTGTTGTTCACATAGCTGGTCTACTTTGTTCATCAAAGAGCTGGCATTTGTGAGGAAGTTGACAAAACTAATTCAGCTTTTATGACTGTGTGCTAATCCATGAGGTCTTACCCTGCAGCATCGAGGCAATGAAGGCTGTGGCCACACTGCTGGAGCACAGCAGCACAGCATGGCTCATCTGAAACTTCCCCTCAGGAATCCAACCAAGAATAACAGCTGCTACAGCAGCAAGAAAACCCACCACAGTGGCCTGGACCTGAAAGACATGAGAGAGAGAATGAAGGAAAGTGAACTCCTGACCTCTGTTTTTAACCCATCACCAAAGTGAACAGTGGGCAACTTTAAGCACCCAGGGAGCAGTGTCTGGGGACGGTCCCATGCTCAGAGAATTCTTTGGTCTTTATTCTGAAATCCAGCCACGGACTGGATTGGACGGTACTGTGGGCTGGATTCGGGCTGCATGCCACCAATTGATAATCACTGCCTTATATCATAAAAAAACTGTCTGGTGATGGTACAGTCCATGGGAAACTGAGTGACATAAGGCAAAGGTCATCCTGGCTAGACAGATCAAGCAGAGAGTCTTTCTGACTAACCACCTTCTAGCCTCAGTTCTGTACAAGCCCGACCATAACATGCATACATGCAATTCTCGGTTTAACACAATTATAACATCTCTACATTTAATTGATGGTTTTTAAATGACATAACACTTCCTGACGTCTGATGAAGTAGACAGCGGCCAATATGTTTAGCAGAACCCTCACACAGTCAATTCTGCATATGTAAACACAACAAATATCCCATGACTAAAACCAAAACTAAAGCTGTAGCACAATGTGTTGCTAGTTACGTACTAGATTAAGCATCAAAAACATTAACATCATAAATATCATGACTGAATATACTCAATTCTTCACCAGCTTATTTCTTTATGATACTTCTCTAATTTCTCATTAGGTTTTACATTATGAAACAATGACATTGTGAGATTACATGGATGGACAGACAGACAGATAGATAGACAGATCTCTCAGGAGTTCCCTTTGGAAGTCAATCAAGTGTGTGTCTGGGTGTCTTTACCTGTTTCAGTGCCAGGTTGCCTATAATGAGTTTCCACTTCTCTATTGGAGAATCCATTTTGCCCACATTTACCTGTCAGACAGCACAGACAAAACACTCATTAAAAGTAACAATACATTTTGATTGATGTTTTGTACTCCTGAGTTGGTGGGTAGAGGTCAATGCATTCTAATTCCAAATGGTGATCGGTTTAATCATTGTGTGTTTGGTTTCCTAATATTTTTGTAATAGTAAAAATCGCTAAACACTGTGTGGAATTTAAGGCTACACAACTGCATTTCTTTCTATGTTAGTATCTCACCGCTGTCGACAGCCTTGAAGCAAGTGTCATTTCCAGGTTTCCCTTAAGACCAAGCAGTGCGGGAACAAGGATGAATATCTCAGTGATGTAAGAGAAGGCCTCCCAGTGCTGTAGACAAACATAAATCATGTCAGTAGTCCATCAAATATATTTACTTTCATTGATTGCCTTATGTGGGACCAGTTTTCAGAATGGGGTGTAAAATGTTCTTTCCAAATTTGAACTGCTCTACATCCAAATGTTCTTCCCAGCATATTATCATTATTATTTAAGTCACTTTTTTTTCCCAATATTCACTATTCAATTTTGTTTTCCATTCAGAGCAAAACCAATAGTTTTATGTTTTAGAATAGTTGTTGCTGCCAAATTCATCAAGCCAAGGCTACCGACACCAGCCTATGAAATCGCTGCTGCAATCACTGAGTCCATAGTCCACAGAGTCAATAACTGCCAGGTCACACAACCACATAAAGTGATTTTACCAAGACGACAAAAATACTTGCTAACATACTGTACTTACACCTGCCGAATTCTAAAGACTAGCTCCTTCTCATTGGACTATCAATAGTGCGTAAAGAAACAGGGATGTAAGAAAATATCAATACACTGAAATATCTATACTGTTTTACATACTGTATATATACATATATACATATATATATACACATATATACATATATACACATATATATATACACACAAGTATTTGAGACTTTGTGTCAAACAATCGTATTTTTACTCATAGCACTGTGTGTTTACTATGCTGACAGCTTCCCTACAGTTAAATTATTAAAAACAAAAACTCAGTATATCTCCATGCCTATAGTATTGCTGTATAACGCAATACATCGTACCATTGTATCCCTGTATTGTGATACATATCGTATCGTGTTCTTGCCAATACACACTAAGAGAAAATGAACACATTATCATAACACAGGGGAGCTAAAGTACAGTATGTTATTTGGTCATGCTAGCAAAGATTATACTTCTACATGTACCTCTGCTATATGCCAGTTTTTGAGGTAAGGCTTTTGTTGAGTGTCCAAATCTAATTTTTCATCGTCCTCAATCTTCTCAAAATAATCAATATCAAATAACAGACACATTAAAACTCACCTGCACAATATCTAGTACCATCCCAGCTGACACAGTTCCAAATCCTGCTAACAGGAAAGGCACCAAGATCTGCAGTGACATTGACAGAAGCGATTCCTTGGGCATATTCTGCACAGCAGATACATGCCTTTCCTCCTCATTTTCCTCCTGCATCTCATCGACATTGTCCCCGGACATCCTCCTTTCAGCCAACATGGGCTCCATCTCAGAGCAGTCTCCACAGTCAGATAGAGACAGAGAGGATCGAGAGGCTCGATCCACGTGCCGCCGACTCTCTGTGTAAGACATTTCCTGTCTGTAACTGTTCGTCAGTGAGCTGGTCTCCGGTTTGGCTCCGAGGTCCACCATGGCCAGGAGCTCCTCTGGAAGTTTTGTGTAACCAGTAGGAACCATGGTCTGAAACATTGAGCTGACTCGCCCAGAGGTCACCGGTTTTAAGGAGAGTGAGCTCCACCCCGATGTGCCACTTATACGTACTGACAGGTTAGAACCCAAGGAATCCCCCATGGCTCCTCCCAGACTCTTCATACTGATGCAGTGACAGAGTACAGTGTCTCATCTCCTTTCATTCAGCCTGGAGAATAAAACAGGGTTTATATTAGCTGTATTCATTCATAGAATGTGCTGTCGATTACACAACATTTACTATAGGAAGTAAACATTGAGCTGAGCTATACATGACATAAAGGTGTTGAGGTTCTTCTCATTCTTCAGCATCCTTAATATAATGATAATAATTTCCACTTGCCTCTACTTGCTTCACTTTAAAATTAAACTTTAAACTTTTGCACTTGTGCAAAATAAATTTTAAAGTGACCAGTGTCTGTAAACATTCGAGGTGGAGGTAGATGAGGCGATAAGTGCTGGGGTGGGGGTTGTTATTTGTCTGTGAGTGAGTGTGTGTATGTGTCCGTAGGTGTTAACAGTCCGGATGCCCCAGGGTGAAAAAACTTTTCAGGACTGCCAATGGATAACGTTGTGCTCTTAGTGTGTGCTCATTGTTGCCGGTGCTCTCAGTATATCTAATGTGTGTTTTACTGTGAGACGATGTGAAATAGCACACGCAAAAGCAAATGACTAAATAAGTAACATAAATCGCCGCTAACTTGTATGTTGTTATTGTAGATGTACATTACAGTTTGGATATAGTGCGCAGTACAAACTATCTTAAAAATGACTCGAAAGAAAGGAAATTAGTTGTTAAAGAGAAACACATAATGAATTTGAAGTACACAGCCACGAAAAATACAGGGCACTTTTACATTAACAGTTAACTTCGGTATTTGATAACCAACGGATAAAATCGCTGTGGCCATTAGTTTGTCGCGTTTTCTTAAGACCCTATCCGGCACTGTCTTACCAGCACAGACTGTTTATTATCACTATATTAAAGTAGCACATACTCCAAACCCCTGGATGTGTGTATAAGCTACCTGACACAGTTGTTAGCTAGATGTCGACGAACAGCCAAAGTGATGGACCCGATGGGCTAACAGTTGTTTTTAATTAAGACGTCATCTTTTTTAGAATTGCAAATCATACCTTTTTGCAAGAGACACTTTTTGACGAAGAACGTTGAGACTGCTTGCTCCTACCAAAACAGACAGAAATACAGGCAGCCACCAGCCACATTTCCGCCGCCGCCAAAGATTTTCTACGCGTGTCTGATGAGTAGCTTTGTGTACAAATCATGACTTCATCTTTGATTCCTCGGTCCACCTAACTATTTTCCTACAGAATAAAAAAATAGAAAGACTGCCAGTTTATCAAATAAAGGATATTTAATCCTCCCACGCACTAAAACAAACAGAAACCCACACATTAACGACATATAACGCTTATCTTTTGCGACTGCATGAACTGAGTAGGAGTGAGACCTCTCGCAATGTCTTAAATCTGGCTCGTATAGTGCCACAACGCGTTTTATCGTATTGCGCACGCGCAGATTTGCAAGGTGTTCATACGTTTGGTTTCCTCGTCGAAACGCAAGTAAATAATGTTACACACTGTTTTTGTGCTGTTTTCGTTACTATATATAAACATTAAAAAAAACGCGCCCTTTTAAATTTATTGTTGGTTTTGTGAAAAGTTCAAAACCGACGACAGGGCGTCAGGAAATACTACATACATAATACGTATCCTGTGACGTTTAGCTATAACCCGGAAGTAGCTCTTTCGCGCAGGTCTAAACAAGCATGGAACCTAGTAGGGGCAAGACGTGTTCACAGGCTCTCCTATCATGTGGGAACGAAGGTATTCTTACGACTTTGTCAAAACTATAGAATATAATTTTGGTTCGAATGTTGATTAGGGTAGTGTCAGGGCCGGGTGATGGATTAATGGCGGTGAATAATTATGGTACTTATGTTGTATTGAAAAAAACAAACCCAGTACTCTCTGCACTCTGTTTGTAAAGGCTTTTGTAACGTTTTGACATTGGCTGTGTTTAACTGTAGTGAATTTGTGTGCTCTTCAGATCTGGGTGAGAAGTTTCTCCTAAAACCAAAAACTGGCAGCACCTTGCAGACTGAGAGGCTACCTAGAAGCAGCGGTAAGACCCAGCACTAAACAATGTGTAAGCTTGGTGTCATTATAACCATCATTAATCACAGGCAGATGATCAACCATGTTCATCGTGTTGTTTCATAGTACTAGATCGTCTGCAGACCTTCTTGCCTCAAATATCCAAAGCCAATGAGGAGCTGGAGCAGCAAAAGGAGATGGCTCCTCCAGGACACTTTGACATTGAGTGTGTAGACCAGGCTCAGAAGATCATAGAGATGGTGAGTGATGGGAGTTCTCTTGGTTGATTTTCTCTACACGTTTTTTCTTCTTTTTTTTCAGAAAACGTTGGCAGTGTATATATCTCTCGTCATTTCTCGTGTTTAGGATATAGCTCTGGTAGAGCTAAGCAGTTCAAACGAGGAAGCTGACAATGAAGTTATCTGGGAAGACTCCGAGGAGGACTCGGACCTTGACGATTATGTGCCTGAGGTCACTGAAGAGAACCTGAAAATACCAGGAAGTGGAGTCGGGAAGAAAGTGGCGGGCATACAGGTTCTAGACAATCCGGAAAAAGTAGACATTTCTGCTCCTGCAACTTGTGGAAAAAAATAACAGTGGCCTCTAATTTCTCCCTGCGCTCAAAAGACTCATTCACTCTGGTTATCAAAGATCATTAGCTACGACTGTGGATGAAGTGTGTGTCGGAATTCCTGCTCCAGACACAGTTGGAAATCTACCTTTCATAATGTAATCATCAAAGGCCTGTGGACTGACAGTGTTGAGCAGATTGATAGTGACCTCCTTCTATACCACAATATTTCTTTGTAAATGTAAAAAATATAAGAATATAAGAACAGCTTCTGACTGTGCCTTATTTAAATAAATGCTCTCCTTTAGTGAGAAAATGTAAAATATATACAGTATATAGTTTGTTGAAAGCTTGAGGTAAAATTTACATTCATGTTCTCTTTTGGTTTTCACTTTTGTTACATGTTTACATCAGTTTATGTCATGGTGTGCTTCACAAATAAATATTATGATCAATTGTCTTTCCGATTTGTACATATGTATACTTGTTTCATTGATGATATCAGATTTTTAGTTTCACGTATATATTTTTTTATTCACATATATTTTGTCAGCATGAAACCTGGGCCTGTTTAGCTGAACACCACGCTGATATGGTCACAGGAAATTCAACAAAAATACATCTGAAGATGCTTCCTCTTCATTCATTTTAAGTGAATATAGCCTTGGCTAGTTGATGTCATCCCAGTGGGTGTTTCCACCCTAACACTAATGTCCTCCCAGTGGGTCGGAAGTCATGACCAAGTTACTGAGCATCTTTTCCTGGTTTCCAGCTAAGCTCCTCTCTCCAGTTCTATTGCTAACAGAATTCTCTCCAGCCGACCTTGACCAGGAACAGCCAAGCCTGCCACCCTGTCCACACCTATACCAATAAGAGCCTCTTAACCTCAAAGATCTATTCAAATTGACTTTATTCAGCATAGTGACATAAACAGACCTTATATATTGTGATTTATTTTATACAATGCTGGAGACTTTGTCGCTTGCATAGCCCTTTTTGCCTTCACTGACACAAGGAACAATTAGAAAAACCTATGTCCAAATGCCTTACGCATAAAACATCTGAAGTCATTGTGTGAACAAAATACACAGTGTTCCTTTGTTTGACAAATGTCCAAAAATATATAAGATTAAAGGTATTTCTGTTCTCTAGTTAACAAATATTTACAAAAAAGATTAAGTCAAATTTGACGAGTGGAAAAAGAAGAGGTAAAATGAGGAGGTGGAAATAGACCCATGTAAACAAAGCACTTGATGGCAATTCATACACATGTAGAGAAGACGCTAAATCGTACAAATAAAGTGTGAGAATTAATCAGATGTGTGTGGGGTGGATTCTACCTCATGAAAAAGTCATTTTTTTAAAATAAAATTTTAAAAATGGGACATCAACGGCTGAATGATTATTAAGATTCCCTTTTCGTCACTCGTTCGGCTGAGAAATCTAATTTATGACTTTAAAAAAAGCACTTTAAAAGTGGAATTTCTTTTTATCATTTGAATTGAGCCACTATTCTTTCCTGCTCTGTTGACCTCAAGTGACCTCAACTCGTACCTTGCTACAGGTATGGGAGTAACATTTTACAGGGATTGTCGATATTATTTCAATTAAATACCGATAATAAATAAAATATAATTGAAATGCTTGCTTTGCGTAGCCTTGGAGTTAGCTTTTGTACATTAACTTTTTTCCAGGTTTTCCATGTTAGTCCGTCAGTGTGAACTTGGTGGCTAATGTTGTCTTTATGTTGCGATCAAAACAGTTTGATAGCCAAAAATTTAAAGTGAATAAGTTCTATAGTGTGTAGTAGGGACATTGTGTTGTAAGAACTGAATCATATTGGGGCATACAGCTACATTAATTAATCAGTGACCCAACATATAAAGTATGTTTAGATCACATGAGTAAATATTAGGGATATAACGATGCATCATGAACCGATTAAAAATCGGTTGAAATAAAAAAGTCACGCATCAAAGCGAAAAGAGCAGGCTGTTATTACAAAAAGTCAATGGTCATACCATAGCACTACGCACTCCAGTACACTAGGTGACAGTATGCGCCTAAAACATTAGTTGTGACCCGCTATTAAACCGAGACCACAGGTCCTTAAATAGCCTAAGTGACATTCAGGTGTTCATACAGAACGTGGGAAGAACTTCTTCTACAGACACAAACCGTGTTTAACAGTGTTTCTGCCATGAAGGAACTCTTTCTGGTTAATATTTTTAATATTCTTTTGTTGTTTTATAAACTAATTGTTAGCAGGATAAATAAGTACTGGTAATAAAAAACAGTTTTACTTTTAATAATAGGATATAAATCGTGTGTTTCTGTAAAGAAATTGCCTTTTTTTTCTGAGGAAAGTAAGTGAAGCCTGTTGAATGCTTTAACGTTACTGCACTAGACTGTACTGAGTCAGTGTAATGGTCAATGTAGGTGTCTGTCATGAACTACCACACTCAGCTGTAACACCATAGGCAGGTGGCTTCACATGTATTAGAAGTCCTGGGAAAATTGCCTAATTTCTCTTGACGTGATGATAGAGGATTGGCAATTGCAACGCCAACGATACTAGCTTTTCTACGTTTAACAAATTCAGCTTTCAAATCATCCAGAGACACCAAAACCTAAAACGCTTAACTCAAGGAGCAGGAATCTTTTTTTTTTCTTTTAAACTCAACTATTTTAAACATTTTATGCCTCCTATTTTCAAGTCTTATACTTCTCTTTTTAAGCTTGTTAAAATCAAATTCGGGGAAACTAGTGTTTGGTGGAATTTTAGTGTGTGTTAGTGTTTTTCAGTGTAAAAAGCATCTTTCTGGAACGTCATAAATGTATTTGAAAAAAAAAAAAGTCTCTGTGATGAAGCATCCAGCCCTGGGTCTGGGTTGTGTTGTGTTATATAAAAAACTTCAGCACATGTCCCATGTCCACGCCAGCCGAGACAAGCAATGTGTCCAAAGTGGCCTGTACAACCACAACCATACTGTCCTTTCACCCACATGCACAGAATACAGCCAGACACGCACAGAATCCAAATGAGCAGGACAAACTAGGCCTCTTTTTTATCTTCTTCTGCCTGTGGTAGTCAAAGTTCTGGGGGAGTTAGGCTCAGTACTCCACAGTCACTGCTTTTGTCTTGAGGTATTCCATGAGGGCGTCCTCTCCTGTAAAAAAGACAGCATTACACACTGCTTTTGCTTTCAAAACTGAAGGTCAAGGCTTTGTGGAATAAATGAGCAGTATGTAGGTTAAGAATGCAGTTTCTGATGGGGACTCAGGACTGCAACTCAGACTGGAGTCGCACACAGAGATTTTACTTTTTTTACTTTTATCATCCTCAGGTTTATTGGCATGTTACACTCAATGAGTGTTGGTTCTCGGGACGAAGGCTCTGCATCGTGAGGTGCAGTATTTTAGCCAGCTGGGAAAACTGGGTCAGGTGGTTATATTCTATGTGGGCATGCAAGACTGTTGTGTTGCCTTTTTTGTTGTTGTGTGTGTGTTAGCACTGGTATCAGGACAACCTTGGGTAGAAGTTTAAAAAATATTTGGTTCTCACCCAGGTCTTTGCCAAAGCCAGACTGCTTGAAGCCTCCGAAAGGTGAAGCCACATCCGTCTTGTTGTAGGTGTTGACAAACACTGTTCCTGCCTCCAGCTGCTCACTCACATACATGGCCTTGTTGATATCACGGGTGAACACACCAGATGCCAGACCGTACTCCGTGTCGTTGGCTCTTTTTAGCACACCGTCTACGTCACTGAGGTCGGGAAAAAGAGGACAGAGAATAAACAAAAAAAGGCCCGACCCTGAGTGAGATCTGTCACAGCACCGTCTCTGTAACTGCTTCTGTGGCTTACCCGTCCTTGAATTTGGAAACAACCATGACGGGACCAAAGGACTCCTCTTTTGCCATGAACATGTGATCCTCAACACCAGTGAACACAGTGGGCTCCATGAAAAAACCTAGAAAAAAACGTTAATTTTTACAGCAAGAAGATCACTGGTTCAATCTGTAACAGTCTGTCCCTTTTCTCCACTTCACTAAGTTCACTAGGGTCCTACCTGGTCTGTCCACCTGTCTGCCTCCATACACCAGCGTTGCCCCTTCCTTGACTCCAATGTCACAATATTCCAGCAGTTTGTCGAGGTGAGCTTTGTGATTCTGTGGCCCGTGGTCCGTGGAGCGGTCCAGAGGATCTCCGATTTTCATTTTTTTAATCTCCTCCACCTGCGAGGGGAAGAACGGAGAGATATTTTTTGGTAAGTTTGGGCTTAATACTTTCACCTTGTAAGGAAATATCCTCACATGTAAAAACATGTTGAAATGCAATATTGCTCTTGCTTTAGTAAATGTTTTCAAATTATTTGAAGGTATCAACTACTTTTATGTCTATATAAAAATATAAAAAAAAGCATGGACACAGATGAATTGTTTTTTTAAATGTAGTGAAATGTACAAAAGAAAACAAGGTTTGACTCACCACTCGGCTGATGTACTCGTCATGTATGGACTCCTCTACAAACAGACGACCTGCAGCAATGCAGTTCTCACCTTTGTTAAAGTAGACAGAGCTCATGCCCTAACAAGAAAACACAGAATGACAATGCACTGAATTTAGCAAGAAATACATTTTAAAACAGCCAAACACGAGAAAAAGCAAAAAAAAATCTCTGAAGCTAGCCAAAAAAAAAAAGATTGTAGTTAGCTAAAAACCACTAAAAACTGTGTGACTTCAGTGTCAGAAACCTGTGCGATGTTAGCCAGATTCAAGTTAGTCCATGTCATGTAATGGCAGTGACACTAAGGCTTTAGCTTCAGTATCAAATAAGACTCAGAAAGCTAAGCTATGCTAAATGCTATGTTAGCATTCAATGATCCTCTCTCACCATGCGAACAGCCTTGTCGAGGTCACAGTCACTGAAGATGATGAGCGGTGACTTCCCTCCCAGCTCCAGAGAAACTTTCTTTAAGTTACTGAGCGCACAGCTGAAACCAAGAGTCGCAGACAGAGAGAGGCGGTGAAGAGACATGACTACTGCCATGACATAGAGTGCAAAAAAAAAAAAGAAAAATAAGAAGAGTCAAACCTCTTCATGATTTGTTTCCCAATCGGCGTAGAGCCTGTGAAGCCCAACTTGCGAACGTCTGGGTGGTCAGACAGACGTTGTCCCACCATGCCACCTAAAATAAAAAAAGGTTTAAGGGACAGAAGGGGAATCATTATCCAGAGAAGAGAGTTTTTGACACAGTCAATGCTTTAAAATATATGAATAAGTGTTTTTTTAATGCTAATTTGTTTACAATCCATTACAAATAAGACCCCAAACAGCATTAGCTTCTGGCTGGGTGACACAAAGATGTGTTTCTTACCTGAGCCTGGTAAAATGTTGATAACTCCTTTGGGGATTCCAGCTTTGACAGACAGCTCAGCAAACTTCAAAGCTGTCAGTGGAGTAACCTAAAAATTTCAAAAGAAAAGACTTTTCATAAAGTAGTGTTTTTTATCTAACCAGTGAGTCCACTATGTAGTGTGTTCTACATTTATATATGTGCATATATAATTCCCTTTAAAGGCAGTAGGGAATAGGGAATGAGTGAGTGATTTCGGAAACCGCGGAAAACTAAAGTCAAAATATACACTGGGTATGTCACTGTCCTTTTCTCAGACCTCTGCACTGGCTACAACATAAGTACAATATATATTGTAAATAAATGTTGTCCACACGTCATACACACCTGGGCAGGTTTCAGCACTAGAGTGTTCCCAGCTGCGAGGCAGGCAGCGCTCTTCCATGCCAACATCATGAGAGGATAGTTCCAGGGGATGACAATGGCACACACACTTTGACACAAAACACACACACACAGTAAAACACACCATTGGAAATACATGATACATACATAATATAACCAAGAATCTACCCCAGAGGTTCTTTCTTAGTGAAGGTCAGGTTGCGGTTGGGTCTGGCCTGGTTGATAGGAATGGTCTTGCCCTGCGAAGCATAACAGCTCGTGCCTGAGTGGTTGAGCACAAGTAACGAGTCAACACGCAAACTGTTTCAACACATGAACCTACCTGGATCTTGTCGCACCAGCCGGCAAAATAGCGGAAGGTCTGTATGGACATGCCGACGTGGGTCTTCAGAGCCAAGGTGTAAACAGCACCCGAGTCCATAGACTCAATGGTAGCCAGCTCCTCCTGGTGTTCCTCCATCAGGTCCGCGACCCTTAAGGAGATGGTCAGGGAAAGTACTCATTATAGTAGAATAGAATACTTGTCACTCAGACACCATCAAAACGACATTCTGTTGCAAAAACAGTGTAAAAATACATAACAAGAAAGATGTTTAACATACATAAATACTGTATGTATGGATATATATATAGCACATTTCTGTAGCAAATGCATCAGTCTTATTTTCTGTGAGTTTTATTTAAAAGAAATTGATGTGATGTGTCATGTGATCTCTTTAGTTACTGGCTAAACCTTACTGGGTTTTCTAGTAAGTCCAACTTTCATTTTGCATCAAAAAACGTGATGCAGAGTTTTGATAAATGGACCATATAAATTGACCAATGTAATTCCAATGCAGTCCTCTAGGGGGAGCTACTTACTTGTAGAGTAGACTCCCTCTGTCCCTGGGATTCATCTTTCCCCAGGGACCATTTTCGTAGGCTTCCTTGGCAGCTGCGACCGCCCGGTCTACATCTCCCACTGAAGCATATGAAACTTTGCAGATCACCTGAGAAAAAAAGAAGGAAACAATGTTCAAAATGGCTGGTCCGCTGGTTAGTTAATCAGACTGAAAACCTGTGGCCACTCACTGATCCATCGGTGGGATTGATGGTATCGTACGCCTTTCCATTTTCTGCATCCTCAAATTGTCCATTAATGAAGCACTGGTACGGCATTTTAACTGTCATGTTGTTTACATCCTTGGTAGCCTGCATACGGAGGTAAACAAGGTATATTACATTAATATAGCACTGGTGCTCTCATCTGAACAATTCTACGTACACTATCAAACAAACAGCGTGTCACTCAGAAAGATCTTAAAGAAGCTACTGAGGGAGTATGAAGCAGCTGTAGCCAGAGCGGTGACAGCGTGTGAAATATGACAATAACAACATGGAACAGTGTTACGTTAAATTCTGTAGCTGAACTTTTGGGACTGACTCAAGCAAGTAATTCAAGTTGATTCTAGGACTAACATAGTCGATGACCAGCTCCTCCTCCTGGTCTTCTCCCCTGAACCTGCGGACAAACATTTGGATGAAGTCCTGAAATGTGGAGGCCATGTAGACATCTTCGTTCTGCAGCTGCACACCGGCACATTTCTGCTTCACCTCCTCCACCAGTCTGGAAAAAAAAGAAACACACATACAGAAAAATTACTGACCATACCCTACAAGCCTATAATGCCTGTAAATGCCCTTGGAAATAAGGGCATATCATAGGTGCAAGGATCACTGCGTGCTAGTTAAGAAATGTAATCATAATGTAATCAGATAAATATATGTATATATGTACACATATATATAAACATATATACATACATTTATGTATATACATATATATTTATATACATATGTATATGATGACATATATGTGTATATATGTTTATACATATATTTATGTATAAATATATATACACTGTGTTTATATATATACACATAAACTTATAAATATATACATATATACAAATATATATACATACAATTGTGTGTATATATATGTGTATTTTCCATACATATATAAATATATATATATATACATATGCATGTAGCTGCAGTAAAATATTTCTTCTGATATATAGACTAAATTAAAATACAAATACAATACTGACATTTAACATCACTCACCTGACCACATCCATGGAGGCAGCTCCAGACTTGAAGAAGTCTGTAGTGTCCTGAACAGCGGGCACGTTGGAGAGGATACCCTTCCAAATGCTCTGTGATTTGGAAACAGAGTACAACACGTTGTCTTTTCTCACGTATAAACTTGTGTTTTAAATCAAAGATGGTCTCAGCAGGCTTTAAGACACCGTCGTGTTCTTACTCTAATTTCCTCGGCCATTTTCTTCTCCTCATCTGTTAGCTCCACCGTGGAGCTTTCACCAGAGTCAAAGTATTTAGAAGCCGGGATCATCTTCCCATCTTCAAATTGCAAGCTCTTCACCAGAAGCTTTGATTCAAACAAAGAGTTTGTCAAATTAAGAGACTCGGTAAAACACCAAATAATGACAAATATTTACAAATCCACTTACAGCTTTTCCATCAGTCCCGTACAGGACCAGCCCATTTTTGGTAACCTGGCCTGGCTGGGACGCCCCATCGATCTCCAAGGGCTGACCATCTGGAACTGACCCTCCCAACATGGACGAGCCATACAGGGTCACAGTCTTTGGGAATCACAAAATGTTATGTTTACATTTACCAAGTGGCATTTTTCAACACAATACTTGACACCAAAAAGCAAAATTGTCAAGCTTAAGAACAACTCATCTCTAAATGATGAGCCACACAGTATTTCCCACCTGTCAAATCATGGAACTGATCTAAACACTGAGACTACAGTTTGTTTTACATTATTGGCATTATTTTGCCCACAGCCTGCACATGCTTCAAGCAGGCAGGCACACTGGTCAGAAAAACAAGGCTAGCAGTTATTACAGCATGACTAAAAAATATATCCAAGAAAATTTGACATGATCCAGTCAACGATATCTCCAAAATCACAATCATGCCTCTCTTATCTCTCTTTCTCTGCTGTGTAAACTATCAGTTTTGTGTACCACCGAAGACAACTCCCTGTATTTGTACGCAATGTGGGAGACATTTTTACGGCGACAGAAACACCAGGTTCTTTTAGCGAAGTTGTCTTCTATGAGGATAATTCTCTACATGTGTATAAAATATTACAAATATCCAAGTGTGGATTTTATAAGCAGTTCTGAAACGGCCTGGTTATTGTGAAAACGTCTCCCACAGTATGAGTAATGAGGCAGGAAAGTGTTGAAAATGTTGTAAGACCAGCTGGTCCAATGTGAGGTTTTGAAAACCAGACTGAAATATAGGCAGTAAAACCTCAGTCTAGTCTGGTCATAGACAGCACATGTCCAGAACTCTGCCCGTGAGTTCCAGGAAACCAACCTTATCACCAATTACTGTCCAGGCACCGGGGACTTTGTCATGTCCTCGAATCCAGTTGTGGATGGCTTCAGCTGACTGGGCCAGGTCCACCTGTGAGACAGGAGGAGAGAACGTCAACGTGTTGAATGTACACTTCGTGGAATTGGAGGGAACCCCAGCAGCTGGCTGTGCAGGTTACATGACACACAGAGACCATTTTGAAAAATAATCATGCATGCTAAGAATAGCACATTTAGTAGCAGAGTCGGTTGAGAGTGGCTGAAACTGGCCGCTGGCAGTCATTCCTGCACAATCAACGTGACACTTGACATTTCTTTACCTGCCAAAGAAAAATGTGGAATAAGAACCAGATGGTAATGTTTTTGCAGTGTACGTGACCAAATATAACTGCAGCTGCTCCTGACCGCCTCAACACTGAGAAACTGCGAGAGCTGTCACATGCCGCATGATACCGAGAAGGAAGAACTCAAACCTTGGCATTGGACTTCTTCTGGATGCCTTCGTAACTAGCTCCCTCCTCCGTCTGTGGAATTCTGGGTGCTTTTCCATCGGCAATGAGCTGCACCGACTCCACCTCAACAACAAGACATTAATGTCAGTTATTCAGTAGCTGCATTACAAAAAACACATTCTGCACAGTATTATTGCTTTATGATCTAAGCCAGGGGTCCTAAACCCCTGGTCTGTGTGCCGTTGCCGGTCCGTAGGTCAAATGTACTTCAGTTTTAATAATTTACTTCATATAATCTAGCAATGTTTCAAAACAACAGGTCATTTAGACAAAGTAACACAGGGGAAGAATTCCAACTTAATTTGACTTAATAATTTTTTAAAAAAAAATTTAAATCCAATTCAGATTTTATAGAGGAAAAACAGGAGTTTGTTTATGTTTCTGAAATAAATAATGCAGAATAGTTTGGTTAGGACTGGTGAGTAGGTGACCACATGACCAGACCAGTTAATCCAGGAATGGGGAAACTAAGGCCCGTGGGCCAGATGTGGCACAGTCAGCTTTTGAATCCTTTTATATATTTGTAAATTATATCATTTAGAAAACTTTTCTAAATGATAACTTTTCCTGTTCAATTTTAGGACAATTACGGCCCATGAGTTAATCAATACCTTGTCCTGATGTGTCATGGATGATCAATGAGTTAGTTCACTCAGATTAAGCTCTGTGCTGTTCATATGTCCCCTGTAGGAGAATATCTAGCCAACATAAGGAGTGTGTTACCCAAAAATGTCACATCTCAGGTAGTTACCATGGCCTTGATGCCCTCAGGAAAAAGGAAGCGGTTGTAGAGTGTGTCCACAGTGTCGTTGGGCTCAACAGCGCACTCCCTCTGTAGCAGGATGGGCCCTGTGTCCAGACCATCGTCTGCCCAGAAAATCGTGAAGCCAGCTTTCTTATCTCCTTCGATCAAGGTCCTTGAGGTCCCATAAAAATAAAATAGTTTGAGCTGAGCAATACCAAAATAAAAGTGTGTAAAGATGATTATAGTCAGATAAGATGTCGCAAGGGTGTAAACACAGTGGCATCAAACATGTTGATGGGACAATCACACTCAACCAAACTGCCTGGCATTTTATATAGAAAAATGATGTAGTTCACTTTATAGTAGTGCATGTACAGTATGATGTACTGAAAAATAATGGTGTTGGAACATGCCCCACTGCTCAGATGACCACACCTGCTACAAAGAGCTAAAAAACCTTCTGTAACCCATTAACTACTATTTACTGTACACCATGGACCACTCCACATTAACAACACTGAACCATCCATTTGGACTCCTCTGTTTTAACTTGTTAAACAGTCAAATAGCAGATGCAAAAAGCGGGACTTTAAACCTCTAAAGTACCAGCAGTGTGTGCCAACAACAAATTCATGTTAGGCTGTGTGTAGTGTGGGTGGAGTAGAGGTGACAACTGGCAACTGGAGCTGATAAGGAAACCAGCGCAAGCAGGAAACTGAACTGGTCTGAGCCTACACGGTCTTACCCAAGTTGAAAAGTGACCTGACACAGTGACAATGTCAATTTAGTTAATGACTCTGACCTTGGAGCTGCTCCGGAAAAAACTTTGATAAAATACTTTGATAATGACAAGTAACAAGTAAAGGTCCCACAATAATGATAATGATTTGTTTGTGTGTGTGTGTGTGTGTTTACTCAGCAGATACAAATGAATGTTTACTGTATGATGTCACACATGTAACAAATAAAACTGTCAAATCATGAAAATGATCAAAATCATTGTACCAGGTTTTAATGATTGATTGATTACGACTCACTGAAATGAGCTTTTTATTAATTAGGTTTAAAGTGCAGGCTGTTAATAATGAACCGTGTTTGACCGCACTTGACACTGTTAGAAGAAAACTACAAGTTTTTTCTTCTAAAAATTATTTTATATATATATGTAATTTTTTTACACTTTCTCACATATGCTCCTGAATGAAGTATGCATGTAAAAAAATGTACGTGGAAAACTATTTAGACTACACAGTAGTTTTCACAACCTATTTTATCTTTAGCCCAAAATTATTTTAAATTATTAGCACTCAATTTCCTCCCAACTTTACAATACCAGTACGTACTGTTAAGTTGTATTGTACGTATTGTAAAGTACTTATGTATATATACTTATGTAAACATACATAAGTATAGATACATATAATTATGTATATATACTAATATACATAATTATATATCATTTAAAAGTAGAACCTGGTTAGACATCGTAATTGTACAAATACATAGGGTGGTATTTCCAGCTAGTCTACTTCATTACACAACATACAACCTGTTCTCTCACCAGTTGATGGCTGACGCTCCTCTGTGCAGCGGCAGGATGGAGGGGTGGTAGATTATGGAGCCATGCTTGGGGTTGTCGATGACGTTCATGGGGATGAACTGAGAGCAGAAGGGCATGACGTTGAGCTCAGCACCCACAGCCTTGTAGGCCTCCACCACCTCCGGGATGGGCTTGCCTTTGACCCTCCACCGTGGGAACTTAAACACTGGAGTGCCGTCTTTTTCTGCTACTGTAGCTGTTGGACAAAACAAAATTATGTTTACAATTTATGTAGGTACAGATTACAGAGTCATCCTGGTGTTTATATGTGAGAAATTAAATTAAAAAAATAGCCATTAAAGTGCCTGCATCAGCACAAATTGTCGTACTAGGATTTTTCTTTAAATTTTTCATTTCTTTAAATAACCAATATCAAGTGTTATTTCTGAGACATTTCTTAAAATAACCAATATCAAGTGTTATTTCTGCACAATATGACAAACAATCAAAAACAAAACACCTAGTGAGTGGAGGTTTGTTATCATGCAATCATTACAGTACACTTGATGAGAGTGCCATATTCCATATTCCCTAATACCCCCCGGCACCTCATCGCGCCACCCCAAGGGGACCCGCCCCACTATTTGAGAAGTACTGGTCTATACTGACGTGTTTCACACAACAAACAGCAAAGGTCATCATTTAAGGAAAGTCAACACAAAGCCACACATTTAAATTATAGCCATTACATAAAATAACGGCTTTCAAATTTGAACGTTTTCACCCCCCTCTCTCAATCATGACACCTAATTATTCAATGATTTCCAAGATGGATTAGTGTTAAACAGCATCATAAATGTTTCTTGAACATTCAAGACCAGTTTTCTACCGTAACAACAAGCAGCCAGCTGAGAATTGGCTCCTTGTTATAGTTATTAACATCAAAACCCAGGCTGAGGAGATTAGGATCGTGAATAATCATGATTAACAGTGATTAATCCACAGCTAATCTGTGATTAATCAGAATAAAGAAATTGTATCCTGGTTAAAACTAACAGACTGTTTTAAATCCTCAGTAATATTGTCTGAGTATATATAAGAAAGGCGTGTTCGCAGCACTAACCTGTTGTTACCTTATGCTAACGGCTATGCTGCAGGGCAGATGTTAGATGTCAGGAGCGAGAGGAAACCTCAAATTAGCTCGAAATACAGTATCTGACTGTATCAAAATTCAAACATTATTGGCCAATAATGTACCATATATGATAATTCAGCCCTGGTCTATGCAGTATGTGACTTGTCATTGCTGTCTCTCTGTCTCTGCCTAAAAGATATTATTTCATGTTAAGTGGATACACAGGGGAACACTTATGTGCATAAAGTACGTTGTTGTGAAAGAGTACTCACCCAGAGGGTCAGCTTTTCCATCCTTGTCAGGGACAGTGAAGACACCCACCACTTTGTGACCCTGCTTCCTCAGGTTGGTGTACACCTCCTGGCCAAAGAGGCTCTGGCCAATGATGGCGAGTTTGAGCTTATTCTGGTAATAATGCTAGAACACGAGGGGAGGAGAAAAACTTTAGTTGTCTTGTAGGAGCAAGAGCGGATCACAAAGATGGTAAGGGTCACGTCGGGAAAAATGACAAAACAAACAGATGAAAAAACAATGACTTCCAGCGGTGAACATAGAGACTTGGAAACAAACTTTAGTTTTGCGTCAACACTGAATCTGGAACAACCAAAGCTTAATATTAAACACACATGAGAAATTTAATTTTAAATAAAACACACATCAGTGGTATTTGTTTCTTATTATGTCTCTTTATCTGTAGCATTTTAAGTTCCTTTATAATGTAAATCTTTGTTTTCACAGGTCAACAACAAAAACATAGCGCATACACCGCTAATACTATAAATCCTGCCAACTCTAGTACACATTTGATATGATATCACGGGCCAAATATAATTACACTGTGGGCCAGATTTGGCCCCCAAGCCTGAGTTTGACACGTGTGTATTACACCACCCATCACCATCCACTGAGCCCCCTGTCTAACCTCATCCTTCCACCTGACCATCACAATAGCAAAAAAGGGGGTTTGAGCTGATCCTTGACATAATCTGCCTACAAGCTTGAACCCATCTGTCACTCCAACTGCACATCTCTGTGTGCTCCAAAACACTATTCCCCTTCCATATCCTGGGGGTTAACTAAAGGTTACATTAAAAGTCCACCCAAAGACTGCAATTCTATTACAAAATATATTAAACCACACTTAAACAGAAGTTGCCATTGATTCAGAAGATTTCTATAATATTAACATTTGTCGTTTCTGAAACTGCTGACAACGAGACAACATCGATACGTGCAATTATGAATCATAATTTTAGGAGCGCCTGTGTCCGCACCAGCAGCACATGTGTGGAGGAAGAAATAAAATGAAGGAGCGGGGTTTCAGGTTTCATCTCCTGGAAGATTGGGGCTGTCAGGCGCACGAGGCATTGACCCTGACTACCGTGCAACGTGACACACACCCGTACAGTGCAGCTAAATATCGTACCACACTAACAGACAGAGGTTGTCACTGCAGCCCATGCTGCTTGCTTTGCCCTGAGCTACTGTGTACAGAGTCGAGCTGCTTCAGCCTGCTGATGCAATTCCTCTACAGTATGTACAGTACAGGCTAGGAAAGGGGAGGATGGGGGGGAGTTAACGTGGCAAACAGGCACTTCTCTATCACGCTAGTGCCGAGCTGTGGAAATGTTAAACGCTAAGTACACATTTATTGACTTAAATTATGTTTCTAGGATGCCTATAACCCCATGGTCGCGGGTTAAATAAGCTAAACAGAGCTTTACTCACGTGCGACGTGGAGAACCTCCGCAAGACTTGAGCCGCTGTCCACAACATGGTTGTTGGCGTGTGTGAATGTTAATGTCGTGGCTGAATATGTGTCTGAACTGTCAACGTGAGTGGGAGCGGTTGTCTCACACACCTGCTTCGCTGTGTGAGTGAGTCAAAGAGACAGAACTGTGCTCTCTCTCCCCCCCTTCACAACCTGTCCTCAGCACCAGGAGGTATCCAACCAACGAGGGAGCTGGACGTGCGCGCTCGCGACGTCCGCGACGCGCTCAGCGCGGTCACGTGTGGAACTGAGGAAAGAGAGTGTTGCGTAACAAACTAAACCAGCTAGCTCCTGTTTTCTCTCTGCCGTCCTCCACCTGTTGTTCTCCCACGCACAGTGAACTCAGGTCTGGGACCAGCCACTCTCAGCTGCATCACACAGGTTCTAACGGGACAAAGGTCCAGCAGACACACGAATTCACCTTCACTTTTCCTGTGGTGTTGCAGTTGTTTAGACAAGATGAACAGTTCATGTCTCTAACAGCAGGGATTTGTACCTTGTCAAAAAGGAGATGGAAACTTACAGGAAGGTTTGTACTTCTAATTATTTAATTGTACTGAGTTAAAAATGGAGTGCATGAAATTTAGTAACAAATATCTTCAACAACATGACAAAATATGAAGTAAGAGCACTGGCATTATTAGGGCTTCACTTTCGGCATCAAGGTCCACGTCATGTCTGCTCCTTGAAATGTCATAACATCGTGAGAACATGCAGTTTGTTTTAAATCAGTGTTTCCCAAACAGTCCCACGCCAAAAAATAAAATGTCACCAAGAGTATTCGTGCTACTTTACTCACAATTCACTTAGACTTCATTGAACCCCGGCCTGTTTGGTTGAATACAACCCTTATACAGTCGAAGGAATTGAAGAAAAAGATCCAACATTTATGCAGGTCTCCCTCCTAGTTGCTATTGCTCTCAGCTGCCACCTGGTGGAAGATTATTTAATTAGTCTGCCCATCACTGTCATACACACACAGACAAATAATTTGCTGTAAATTAACAACAGTTCTCAGTCGATGAAATGAAAATTCTATTTCACATCCAATGATTTCTGACAGCACACTGACCCCTGAGGCAGTGATTGGGAATTACTTTTTTATTTTACACTTCCTAGTATTGCTGTTGGTTAAGAAGACACCCAAAGAAGGCAATGAAAAACGTGAGCAGAATCTTTTAATCATTCTTTCTTGAGGTAAGTGAAAAATATTATTCATGGAAATTATTAGGCATCACTTTTCATTGCCACTGTACCAGTCCAGGAGATGATATTCTGATATTGTGATATTCTGTTTCCTGAAAGACGAGTGTATGTAACTCAGTGACACGGTTGTGTAGTACAAATGTGAACGAAAAAATGTTGGTTGAAATCTTTGATGAGCGTACAGATTCACTGATTGTTTGACGCATCAATGAAAATGTTACGGTGGATAAAGTTCTGATCAGAGAAGGGAAGCAGGGACTCAGGCACATTTCCCACGGACTGAGAAACCATGATAGTGTTACAGATTCTACACTTGACAAAACATCCAGACATTTTTTTTAATCTTTCCAATAGATAATGTCATCGGTTGAAGACATCAGCACAGTCAGGAGGTTACAGGAAGCGAATTCCTGCTCCAAATTGGAAACCATCACATATTCTAGGATGATAGAAGAAAAAAAAATTAGAATCACAGTATTCATTGTTGAATCAGGTACTGAGACAAACTAGGGATGAGCACACTAGCTCATATAATATCCATAATGGATTGCTGAGACTTGTTGACCTAGTCCATTTTTAGACTTACTTTATTTATTGTCATTGCACAGAAACACAAAAAAAAAAACAAAAAACAAAAAAACAGCGAGTCTGGCAACAAAATGTCGTTGCTTGGCAACCGGAGTACACAGTACAAAGTTTGTAGGCCATGAGTAATTTCTTGAGGTATGTCTATATACATATGTATATATATATATATATATATATAGGTTTGGTTAATGTTATTAACCAAACATTAGTTTCAACAAAAATATGTTGAGGATATCAAGTAATGTCTTACTTGATGTAAGACATTAACAACTGCATCAACCAGCAACGATACATTTGACAATTAGGCCGATACGATAACAAATTTTGCTGGATGATAAATGGTCCCACAAATTATTGCGATAAACGATAATATTGTCAACATAACTTAAAGACTTAACCACTAATGTATATATAATATAATATATCATAATAATGCGCATTTAATTTAAAGAGTATTTTTTCACATTTCCTATGGTACCCCAAATAAAATAAAAAACAATATATACAGTATATATAAATATATATATATATATATTTAATACAGGATGTTGGGATTGGGAGGTGACGCTTTGGCGAATTAGGAAACAAACTACATTTTCTGAGAGCTCAGACAGTTTGGGTTGTTCTGTGATCTGAAAATGATCACACTGAAACTAATCAGAAAATCATCTGAAATTAAGTCTGACATTGACTCTCACCTGTCTCCACTCTGAACTCCCATAGGCACACAGTAATTGAGCTCCATTCTGGCGATGTTTCCTAATCGTAGTACAATCCCTGCTCCATACGACCAGCGAATACACTCAGCTAGCTTCTTAAGGTGACTCTGGGGACCATCACCTGCGTGCACACACACACACAGACGTCTGATGTTAAACTTAGAAAGTCACACATACATTTCATTTAAGTCATTAAACCTTATATTAGTCTTATATACTTACACTTCTACACATACACTTATTACTCATTCATTTGTTTAAATTAGTGGTGTAAGAGAATATCGATACAATAGAATTATCTTAATATTTTGTTTCAGAATATCAGTGTGATACTGCATTGTATCGATTTTTTATTAATAAATAACATATAAAAATTCATTACATTGGTTCATATTATTTTTCTTTCATTTCTTCTTTAGTGATTTCAAATGTCGATCCCTCTGTTCCAGTGTTAGTAACCTAACGTTAAGATGGAACAGCATTGTGTTTACTATGATGACAGTTTTACTACAATTACAATGTTATCGTCGTGCCTACAGTATTGCAATATATCATATTAAATAACATTATCAGTAGCGTACCGCAACGTCTATCTGTGCTCGTCATTATCAGAGGAAAACAATTACAATAACGATTCTTACAGATACTACATAATTATGCTAATATCAGGCCGATAATATCGGTCAGCGAATGTTACCGAACATCCCTACTAATTATACTATGATACATTTTGAGTTTATGATACACTGTACCCACCATAGTTGAGGTTACAGTTGAGTTCACTGTACCCACCATAGTTGAGGTTACAAAGGTTGCCAGCATTTAGGAAGAAGTGGGTCCTGAACAGGTCTCCAAATCCTCCCTTCCTTGTTCGAAAAGGCAGAGGGGTGTAGAGATGCAGCCCACCTGCCCAGTACGCCTCTCCACCCAAGTAATCACCTGAACACACAAGGGAGCAGTGTGGTGATGATGGTATAATTCTAAGCCATGAAAGATCAGTGAAAATCATCAAAGTCATCCAGTGCTTACCTTGACATTGTGGTCCAATACTGTACATCCCAAACCCTCGGACACTGGTGGGGCCCCCGAGGTAGAACCTGGACAACAGGAAGTAAACATGTGAGCCAGTCAGTTTTATAATGACCTACCTACCGATTTGACAACTGTTAGACTGCAGAGAGGTTGCAGTTACTGCTGTAAGTAATGCCCATCTATTATAGTCAACGTATACATTTCTTTTACTTCCTATTCACCAACATCAGCAGAGCGTTCATCTGTACCACAGATAAGGTTCTGACATAGTACGCTATGCTAAGAAAACAGCCAAGTAAATCCACATCAACTGCACCAGTGTCATCATTTGTGGGTCAAATGATTCTGATACTTTTCCATTTTCTTCATCTGGCATCACGGAAGTCTTCTTCATTTTAGATCCTAATTACAGATGCACCGATTGTGAATTTCTGGGCCAGTACTGACACAGATGTTTACGTACGTAAACATTACTGAACTATTTTCAGCTTTCATCATGCTATCCTTGAATGAGCACAGGTTCTATCAGACAAATTTATAAAACAAAAAACGACCTCTAATGTCAGTTTTTAGTTGACATTTAAGATAACCTCAATCTACGTTCATTTCTGAAAAACAACTTTTCAAAAGAACTCTTAGACTGAGAGAAAGAGAGAGAGATAGAGAGACCTTTATAATGCATCAAAGAACCAGGGTTGTCTATGTTAATTCAAACTAACCTGTCAGCAATGCAGGACGGTTGCTCTCCAATAGGGTACAGGACGCCCCCCCACAGAGAAGCAGATATGACCTGAGGGACAGAGAGAGGTTTCTTTATTAATACGTAAATAAAATAGATTAATTAAGCTGCTGCTCTGCTGCCATCTAGTGACTGGAGGCTTGTTTATCGTTCGTTTTTCTACGTTGGTACTTACTAATAAATGTACCTGATATCTGAATGGCGTTTGATCAGTGACTCACTGTGTCCCAGAAGAGGTGTCTGTTTAACTGCAGCTCAAAATCTTCTTTTAGAAAGTTGGCGTCTCCTCCTGTGTAGCCAGCCAGCTCCTACATGGTAAAT